AAATGTAGGTCTTCACCTTTGAACTCCCTATTTGTTTACAAGGAACTGCAAAATCTCAAAAACTCGAAAAGGTATCATAAAGTAACAAAAAATCGGAAAAGCGCCAGGTCTGTACAGACAAACAAACTGTCTCGAATTTTAGTGGTACGAGCAGTTGTAGAGCTGTCGTTTCGAGTGCAGAGAAATAAATAATATGTCCGGGGACAAAATTTGCATATGTGCATGTCAGTAAGCGTAGGCGATGGGTTGGTACAATAATAAGTTCAATTTAAAATGTTACTGAAATATAGCAAGTAGTATTATAATAACAGGATTTGTCGAGGTTACAGAGATCGGGGTGGTAATTTAGTGCACACTGCTACACAAATCCAGCTTCCTCTTAAAAACCTCGACGGAAGCACACATAACGACATCCACAGGCAGGGCATTCCAGGCTTCTAACACTCTGTTGGAGAAGAAGAAATTTCGTGTGTCCAGTCTGGCCCCTGTCACACGTAGTTTGAATGGATGGCCTCGTAGATTTGTGGTGGTTGCTAACTCGAAGAAGTCTCCCGGTACGAGGCTGCAGTCCTGACCGCGTATGATACGGAAGACTTGTATCAGGTCACCCCGTAACTGCCTGTAACTCAAGGGAAAGAGATGAAGGTTAGCTAACCGCGTTGCATATGGTAGTGAACCCTGTCCTGCCACAAGTTTCGTCGCACGATTTTGAACCCTTTCAAGGATGCTGAGGTCCTTCGCGGTCCAGGGTCTCCAAGCTTGGATAGCAAATTCTAGTTGCGGACGCACAAAAGTTCGAAAGACTTTAGCGAAGCAGTCTTCGTTAAAGGCAGAGAAAGCCCGCTTGACAAGGTAGAGGACTGACATTGCAGACTTGGCTATCTTCGTGCAGTGCAGCGAGGGTTTGAGCGAGGTCGTAATCCATACTCCCAAGTCCTTCTGCGAGTCCACTTCTTGCAGTGGTATACCATTTAGGCAGTAGGCCATATGGTTCGGAGAGCGATCTCTGCCGACTCGTAGAATATTGCACTTTTTCTCGTTGAACGGCAGAAGCCAGGCCTTTGACCACTGTTGGAGTCTATTTAGGTTCGCCTGCAGGTGCTCTTCGTCATCTGCAGTTCGAATGACGCTCCAGAGCTTAATGTCATCCGCAAACATGGCGACACTACAATCCAGTTCACTCACGCAATCGTTGACGTAAATGATGAACAAAGTAGGGCCAAGAACTGAGCCTTGGGGAACACCACTTTCAACGGCAACCTCCGTCGACTTCTGGCCACCGACATGGACAGTTTGACAACGGTCTAATAGGAAGCTTTGAATCCATTTTAAGAGGTTACCCCTAACGCCTGTTCGGCTCAGTTTGCGCAGGAGTCGCTGATGTGGGACACTATCAAATGCCTTTTTAAAGTAGATATAGACTACATGCAGCGCACTGCCTTCATCAACTGACCGAGTCCAACGTTCCAAACTGTTGAGCAGGTTAGTCACGCAAGACCTGCCACTACGAAACCCATGCTGCGCATCAGATAATAAATTATGCTGCTCTTGGTAGCGCATCAACTCTCACTTGATTATTTTCTCCATGAGTTTGCAGCAGATGGAAGTGAGGCTAATTGGCCTGTAATTGTTTGCAGAGGCCTTGCTGCCTCCTTTATGCAGTGGTGTGATCCGCGCAGACTTCCACTAAATCCCAGGAGGACCCTTCTCGAAGTCAAGAATCTGAGTGTTCGGGAATGAGACCGTTAACAGTGCCTTTATGCTTTCCGGTGTAAGATGGTTGCGTAATTTCGACTTGAATACCAGTAACTTAGGCGATAATCTAATTTCAGGCGGAAGATTATTCCAAAGGAAGGCATATTTAGAAGCAAAGAAGAGGGAGCGCTTAGATGTAGTACAAAGAGGCGGCGGACTCACCATGCAGGAGTTGCGCGTGGCATAAGACCGATCTCTCGGAGTGAGAGTGTCAATGTGCGGAAGACTGGAGCTAGAGTTGATGCGAAAGATGAAGCAAAGGCCAGCTTCGAGTCTTCTAGCCCACAAAAACTTAATGTTCGCCAGCTGACATCTCTGAGTCTAAGAAATACTGGACGAAGCTTGAGAGAACAGTTTACGGGTGAAAACCCTCTGAACATTTTCGATTTTATTACGGTCGCAGGCGCTCATTAAACCGAAGAAAGGACAGCAGTATTCGAGGACTGGAAGAACAAACACTTGATAAAGTATTACCTTCATTTCCGGAAGGAAAAAATTATGCGATATGAATCCACGTATCTGCGCGGCTTTGGCAGAGATTCTATCTGCATGAGGTGATAAAGCAAGTTTATTTGTATAACTTAGACCTAGGTCCTTTATGGTGAGGCATTCTGAGAGTGGGTTATTCTGAAAAATTATGGGACCAAGAAGTTTGGTAGGACCAAAAGACAGGAAACTACACTTGGATGATGAAAACTCCATTTGTCATGTCGAACCCCATCTGCTTAAACGTAGTAAATCGGCATTAATTTTTTCAACACAAACATTTGCGGTGTCCTTAGAGTATGAGTAAACACATTTGAGGTCATCGGCATAAGTAAAAGTTTGCGAATTTCCGAGTTCTGTCGAAATATCATTGATGTACAGAAGGAAGAGTAGCGGACCCAGGACCGTGCCTTGAAGTACGCCACTCGTGATCGAGTGGGGTGTCGAGTAGCTATTACCGACCATGACTTTCTGATATCGGTTGGACAGATAGAACGGCCGAGTAGAGGCGGCCGGATGCCGAGGGCTTCCAATTTTACTAAAAGACGTCTATGGGGCACCTTGTCAAAGGCTTTGCTAAGATCAAAGTAAATAACAACCACTGACTGCCGCTCATTACGAAGAGAAGTGATTAGATTAAGATAAGCCAAGTGGCATGTTTCGCAGGATCGTTCAGGTAAAAATCCATGCTGACTAGAGCTCAGAAGCCGATTAGCTAGACAGAAGTCAAGAATTTTATTGAAAATAATCCTTTCAAGAAGTTTTGCTAGAGACGGCGTTTTGTGCACGCCCCGATAGTTTTTAACATCGAACCGAGTTCCTGACTTGAAAACGGGAATGATAATTGACGTTTTCCATGTTTCAGGAAAAAATCCTTTTGAAATATAAACCGATAATAAATGACTGAGCAATATGGGAAAGTCGGACGCTTGTTTAATAATCGAATTCGGAATCCCGTCCGTTCCTGAGCAGTGTGAGTATTTCAAACGGCTTATGTGTTTCTTAATGAGATCTGAGGAGACCTCAATTGTACTAAGTGTCCTATCTGAAAGTGATCGAAAGAAAGGCACCGGATCGGACTCGGTAGCAAGGTATTTTGCAAAGAAAGCACTAAACAACTCCGCCTTGTCAGTGTCATCGGTGAGGAAGACTTTGTTATCATTTAGCATGGGTGGAAGTTCATGACTTCGCTTAGAGGAGGACCGATGACGGAAGATGTTAGCGACGGATTTGCCAGGGTTCGAACCACTGAGAGCAATTGATTCTCTTTGTCTGTCGCGCGGCTTGACGCATCCTTGAGGCCATCTCAAATATCTCTGTGATTCTAAGATGAACTGATAAGGAACTAGTGGATGGGTCATGCAGTTGTCGCCTCAACCTTTTTAGTCTGGTGTAAAGAAAATGAGGAACAAGGGAATCTGAAGAATAAGGCATGAGATATCTACGCGGCACAAACTCTAGAATGTCCTTGGAAACATTGGACATGACATCACGAAGAATGGTTACATCGCTACAAGTGAGGAAGCCACACCAATCCAAGGATCTCATATAGCTATTTATTACGTCGCCATCTACGCAGTCGTAGTTCATGAAAGTCTGAACGGCGCTTGTCTCTTTTGAAAAGGCAAGCGGTAAGCAACAATGAATTAATACGTGGTCACTGTCAAAGAGGTTCTTTTTAAGCAACAGAAAGAGGAACAATGTCATTGGTAAAGATTAGATCTAAAATGTGATTATCTCTTGTTGGAGAGCGCACCAGTTGGGACCAATTAGAAAAATTGACAATATCTTGAAAGGGCTGGAATCTGGGTGGGCAGCTATTGGAAACCCAGTCTATTTCAGGAAGGTTAAAATCCCCAGTGATTATTTTAACATCGAAAGCAGCTTCCAAAATTAATTTAAAGATTTCACAGAGTTGTGAATCATCACTGGCTAAAGAATTTGGGGGATTGTAGATACAGCCAATAATTGCCTTTCTTTGCGGCGAGAGAATAACAGATGCAAAGCAGAAGTTTCCCGTGAATGAGGAAACATCAAAGTAATAGAGAGAGTGCTTTAGGTAGGATTTACGATAAAGAAGACAACCACCCCCACGCCTAGTCGTGCGGTCTTGGCGGTAAAAATCGAAGTCATCTATGAGAAGGGCAGAGTCAGGAATTAGAGAATGCGTTCACGATTCTGTTACACATATAATATCAGGCGTCATTTCGAGAGAAATGGCTCTGATTTGGGCCATCTTGTTTATAACAGACCTGGCATTAAATAATATAATATCTAATGTGTTTCGAACGGCAATGCTATTTTCGACGGTATTTAAAAAAAATTTGGCGCACAGCACAGGGAAAATCTTACTCTAGAGGGAATAATAAGCGCGGAGATCGCAACAATAAAGGGGACAGAGCAGGTGAACGGCGCGTCCACGTGGGCTTTATCGTTTTGACCCTCCTGCATTTTAATTTACCAACGGTTGTTGGCCTCACTTGGAAATTCGTGTCGATGGTTTCGGGACTCAGATTGCGCACTGTATCCGTGCCGAGATTTTTACAAAGGGCACTGAGGTCTACATTAGTCCGTCGTCTCGTATATAAATTACAGGCCTTCATTGGGAATCTCGGAAACTAAAAAACTTAACAATTTGGGGTGTCTCGGACATTTATGGGATTCACCAATTAAAAACCAAAACAAAAACCAATGAACACAATGACACATTGGTGCATCGGTTTGTCCTGTTCATTTTGGTTATGTTTGGTATTTGGTGAATGGGCAATTGGCTGTGCAGTAGTTTAGGCGACGAAAGTTCCCCTTCCTGTCTATCTTGTGAGGTAATCAGACCACAGAATGAACACCTATCGACGGTACGTTTTTAAATAGTACTTACTTGCAAGTAGGTTATACTAGGTTTATACAAACTTAATTTCAATCTGTTTTGCGCAGTTACGTCGTCTTCCATTACTCTGCCAACATTTTACTCATTTTTTAAATTTCGCGTCTACGGTAAGATGAGAACTTTTATCCAACAGCACTAAGTTAAGTCGGCGTCCCAGCAGAGTCAACGAACAGAAATTGCCCGGGAATCCATCGACGATTGAGAACTTAGAATAAAGCTGGAGTTAAGCAAAAGAGCGTCTAACAGAAATCTGCAAAACAGTGACTAGGCGCTTTTACTCTTAGAAACAGCATTGTGTCACGTACCTGGATAGATGTGGACGAGAATGAAAATGATGTTTAAGAGACCGTTATTGCTTTTTAAGTACGCAGAAGTCAACAGCGACAATGCTCCGCTCGATGAGAGTTCATGCGGATTCTAGATCAGGCATATCTTCGAGGTCTAAGCCCGGTTAGGGCAGTCGAGAAGCCATATATACATTAGAGACTCAGCGTTTACTCGTCGACGCAGTTTCATTTACTTACGATGCAATAGATATCCTCAGAAACAGGCCTCAATATTAAACACTTTAACGCGCCGATTTTACGCGGTGGAGTATACGTATGACTTTGAAAATGGGCATTCCAAGAAGTGTAATTCGAGAGAAGTAAGTCCGTTGACAAAAATAGCACAATTTATTTCGTAAATTTTCAACTTTGGTTCCCCAAGTCGTCCCCAGACGCGAAGCAAGTAGGCAAAATGGTTGAAATTTAAACATGCTTAAAACCAGTATTGCCCTGTCACTCCTGCCAGTCAGCCTTTATTATGGGTTGGCATCATGTTTTATTTGGCTAACGCCTTTCCCGCCTTTCCTTGAGGTCTTCGCACTCAGCATCCAATGGGTAGATTGATGCATTAGTTATCAGAATGAATGGCCTCTAAAATTTTTCGGCGTTTCTTAGATGGGCAGACACCTATACTGCGAGTCATGTTCCAGCCAAATTTGCGTCCAGTTTCCAGCGTATGCATAGCAACCTGTTACAAGTGGTCCCGCCTTTTTATTGCCAGCTGATGTTCGCGTATGCGCGTAGAGGCATATTTCCCAGTTTGACCACAGTAAACCTCACTACGTGTCGTATGGTATCTTATAGACGACTTCCTTCTTTTCTAAGTAGCCAACCATATCCTTAGGGTATACAAACCGGCTACGAAATGCCGTCGTCCGTTTGTGCGCCACGTGTTTCTGGTGCTTCCCCAGGTGTCCTTCGACCAGTTCGGACACATTCCTAATGCACAGAAGTGCTCATCAGTTTCTTTGGTTTGGGCGTCTGATCGGAACAGTCTGTTTCCTTGTCATTTTCTTTTAACTGCTGCTGTCTCATGCATCGGTGTACAGAATCTCTAGGATACCCATTCTGGGAAAACAGATTGAACAAATAAATCAGTTCTGTTTGGTAATTTTCGTTATCAGAGCAGTGAGTTTTTGCCCGGTTAAGGAGCCTCCTTAACGGCACTCCGTCTGAGAGATCAGGCGATTGCTCTCGTGATGTTAGAAATTTCCGCGTAGGTTTCCTTGCGGTAAATTGATGTATGAAATGTACCGTCAGTCTTTCTCTGCACGAGGTCATCAAGAAATCGGTTTTTGTCCTTAGCCCCTTTCTCGAGTGTGAATGTGATTCCTGGAAGTGTTGATTTAATAATTCTGTGGTGCATTTTCAGTTGATCTCTTTTAACAATGACAACGGTGACATCAACATAACGTACCCATAATTTGGGGTTAACTAATGGTAGGGCGATGACCTCTAATTTTTGCATCGTGACTTCTGCGAGAAAGCCAGAGATGGGTGATCCCACAGGAGCTCTCCTTAGCTGTTGGTAGTATTCCTGTGCAAATGAAAATTTTGTTTCCAGGCATAGGCCCAGGAGTTCTAGTAAAGCCGTTGCAGAAATATCCGTGTCGTAGGACTGGGTACGTCCTACTGTACATTGTCTTGCCAAATCCAGTGGTATGGACGTAAACAGAGAGATGACACTGATTTATATCTCCCTGTAGGCTGATAAATACACTGTTTCAAGACAAATGGTGTCTGTACTTGGTACAACTGAGATTATTCCTGCCCATGCTGGCCTTAATGATGTCACGGGTTGTACCTTTTCGCGTGTGGTGATCTGTCACCGCGGATCTGAACGGCTCGGAGCATTCTCATCTCCAGCAGCGCGGACTAAATATTGAAGTTCCAAGAGCCACTTTCTTGTTTTGACGAATTATGTCGAGTCATGTTTTGAGTTTACCTCGTTTTCGAGGTCTCTGGGTAGTGACGCGGGACCGCGAGCAGTAACACCGAAGGACGACGAAGGATGGGCCAAATTACCCCAGCCTTCTTTCTTTGGATGACCTGAGATATCCTCATGATGTCGCAACGAGTACGAACTGCCTCGTTTGAGACGAAGTCCACTTACTTCACTCGAAGGACAGTGGTCAGGCAGCGCTGGTCAATCACCTTCAGTTTTCGCTCATCTTCCACGTGTACAGACCAGCATTCCCAACAATAGAAGGGGATTGACCTAACGGAAGCACAGCACACGCGGATCTTCGTGGCGATGGAGATATCGCGTCTTGTTTGTATCGTCTAAGCAGCGAGTGGGTACACGGAGCGTCGCTGTCATCAGGCCATGTACCGATTAGCAACACAAGATAGAAGCCATCAGAATGAGGAATTTGTCGTGCACAGCATTCAAAGTTGTATTAGGCAGCAGTGACCACTGGCAAAACCAAGGCCCGTGTTGAATGCGTCCAGTCGTGCCTGAGAGAGAAGTGGCAAATGCTTCAATAGGTTTGCGGAGCAAGCCCAAGTGTTCTGCAAGTGATGTGTGTTGCATTCTCCGAGGGGTAAAGTGTCCGGTAACTTATGTTGCATTTGACGAGGAATGGTACATCTAAGTGGCGCATGGGTAGCTGCGACTGTGTGAACGCACGTCTGTCCGAGCTGAAGTCAGTTGAGTGGCTGCAAGTCAACCTGCCTGTTAACTCTCACTGCGAAGGTAAATGACCTTGACTTAGCAAGGCATTGAACAAGGGCACCAGATATTTCAATAGGTACTGTAAGCATAGTCGATTCAGAGACAGTGTCGTCCTTCCCCTGTTCATTCGGCAGCAGCCTCCCCCCGAGATATTTGAAACTGTGTACTTCTTCAAGTTGACCGCCATCAATCCTGAGGGGTGCGTCCTCCGGGGTAGAGATTCAGTCTGAAAACACTTTGATCTTCCAAACGTTCATGGATAAACTGTCGGATTTCGCAACTTCATTCACTCGTGATACCACAAATTAGAGATCAGCAAAGCTTGAGGATTGCAAGGCGATGTCGTCAGCCTAATTGAGATTTGAAAGCTGGCGTCAACGTGCAAACTTATCACCATCAAAACCATGTAGGGCCCTTTCGAGAAGACAACTGCAAGCATCTTTCGCCGGTCCAGTGACTGCGGCGCTGCTGAGTTTATCGAAGGACTTTCCTAACTGCTCCATAGACTGCTGGCTTAAATGATGACCATTGACTGCTGCCCTCTCTGTCTGCTCGGATCGCAAAACGGGGCCCGATTTCCGTGTTCAGGGCCTCAGTGGTGCTGGGTTGTCGACGTTTTGCGATATCAAGGTGTCTTAAACGTGAACGTTTGGGTGCGAATGAGAGGGGAAACTTTGGGCGTGTGCGAACGAAAACCTGGTCCGACCAATGGGCGTTACCAATTTCGGCACAACCCATCGATCGGCTATTGTGAACCAGATCACAGGACCTAGAACCAACTAGCATGTAGTCGATCTGACTGACTCCATGGCCGTTCTTTGAATACCAGGTCAGCCGACGTTTGTGGGGATGCTAGAAGCACTTGTTGGTGACGGTCGATTCTGACCAGCAAGATTCAGTATTCTCTCACCACTGCTGCATCGAGAACCAGACCTAAAACGACCAATAAGTTGACCGTTGCAAGAGTCGCCGAGTCCAGCGTGGCCATCCCGGTCTCTGACGATTATCAGCCGATCACGGCGAGGGAGTCTTTCGACTAACTCTTGCGGTTGCGAATGGGTTTCCTTATCGCGCTGGTTGGCAGCTGATGTTGATGTGTACGCGGAGACGACAGAGATGTTCATAAAGCGGCCCGTCAGTCGCACGAAATCACTCGCTCATTGACTGATACCAGTGCGAGAAGTGCACCGTCCGCCACACTGTGTCTACCAGAACGCTTACGTGGGCCGCTGTGGAACAGGATGAATTGGTACTTAACTACCGTGATCTTTATTTCTTCAGCGCTCGAGTTGGCGATCTGGACTTCAGACAGACAGCAGACATCCACGCTGTGCTTATAAGGACTACACACCGTCAGACTTTGGTTAACAGGGTGTGGGAACGTTCGCACCTTCCAGCATCCCATACGAAGAATCCGTTCTTGACTGATCAGTCCACCCCGCACACTCTTCTCCTGCACCACTGAGCTAGGGTTGCGAGACGCGCCGGTTCCCGCGGACGTCTTGACATGGATCGTAATACTTCATTCGGATATACGTTCATGAAGTTTCTTGGGAAATGTGGGTACGGGCGGGTCCCCAACAGCCGATTGGGTTGATTGTTCGAGGTTGTCTCTAGCTCTTTGGCTTCAGAGCCTGACCACAAAGCAGCGGTGGTAAGCAGACTTATTTACTGACGGTTCACCGTCGCCGTGTCACAGTGTTTTACGACATCTTATAAGGCAGTCGACGTTCCAGACCCCAGCACTCCTTGTCCTGATAGGGTTTATTGCTTCTGGTCCGCGACTGCTTATTCGCCATACCCGAGAACCTGCTTATTTCGCAGTTAACTTTCTCTGATGGTTGCTCAACCACCCGACACAGGTGGACGTGCAGGGCTAGCCAGCAACTACGTTGACTGGGGGTTGGTTCGCTCAGTATGCTGCAATATCACTAACAGTGTAATTTGACTAGTTATCATCCGGAACCTGTAGCGTCACAGATTTACTCAGCCAATCAATCGAGGACACACTGAAGTCCCAAGTCTCGGCTGCGCGACGAGTGCATGTCATCGAGTTTTACGTCCTCGGTAGTCTGCCCGACTGGGTTAAGATGGACAAGTACAAACAAGACTAAACCAACCGGAATATTTTAAAGAGCTCGAATGGGGTGGGAGTTGGGTGAGAAGCGACATAGAACCTATAAACTCTCAGGAGGGTTGTATTGACGACTTGTGCTGAAAAAAGAGTTCACGTCAATGGCTGCTTCTTAGTCAAGTTGGTGTACCTTTCTGTAGGTTTCCTGTATATCAAATATGCATGGGTCTTGTACAGGTGAACAGCAATCGGAGTTCTGCGCATTTATTTCTGATGTCATGCACATTCGTGAACGCATAATGAGACAGGTGTTATCTCGTCAGAACAATCAGTTCTTTAAAATTGACCCGAGTGCGCAGTTGTTTCGAGAAGTGATTCACAGAAGGGCTGCAATAGATGAAGGACGCAGAGTTGGACATCCCGTTTTTGCAGACCGAATTCGAGTCCAACTTTCTACCTCCCGTTAGGATCATTTTATGGGGAAATATTTTGTAACCGAACTTCGATTATTTTCGGAGGTTATTGCTAGTTATGGGAGGTAATAATTTGATCAAGGGCGCTGGAGACCTGTGATCTTTTGCCCCATTCGACTATTAGCGGCTACTGATGTCAATAACTCTGCCGAGTGTCTGCTAGGAATTTACTTTGCCTGCCTCTGCGCTCGAAGGCCCTTCCCTCCGGTAGTTTTGTAAGATTTAAATAAAAAAACCCTGTTTGCCGGCGTCTGCCTATTTCGCAGACAACCACTTGTGAAGTGCTGGATAGCCAGTCAGCAGACCAACGGACGAGCTCATCATCGGGATTCCTCCGCCCAGAGGCTGTAGGACAAACCAAGGTTCATGGTCAATCATCCACAAAATGGAGTGAATATGGTGCAGATAAGACATCCGGTCTTTTCCGACCTTCGATTTGGGTCCTCACTCTTAAGGTGGTGGTATGCAGACGACACCAGTTAGGCGAGAATATCCTTTTTAGATAGCATGTTTGTCGGATCTCATGGCCAGTCTTTGGGATTGTTGCCGTGATTTTGATATTTTAGCTCACTACTCCTTCTTCAGATGGGCGATTTGCTATTCTTCGCCTGTAGCGAGGCACATCAAGCATAGGAGAAGCAGTCCTAATGGACTCTTCAATATTTTGCGACCATTGTCAGCTGCTATTTCACCATCAAGTCACTTCATCTGTCCTCCCCTGCGACTTGACGAATTAGCTGTCGCCGCACTTTTTAGGCGACTTGCGACCCGTTAGAACTGGTCTATCTGAACGCTAGGTCGGTAGTTTGCCCAATTGGAACTACAACTGGCTTCCATCTAATACTGAAATGGCCCTTTGCGTTTAATAGGACACACTATGAACCCGATGTCTACCAGTCTTTGTTACATCTTTTCCTGTATATTTGCTTTACCGAAGCCGCGATGCCCTTGTTCTGCCGTGTGTGAGCGGACGCTCCACTGTCTCATCTGGTCTTTCCGGTGCAAAATAAGCGCTGACTGACTAAACGCCTAGATATGCCATCCGGACTTAACTTAGTTGTTCTTCCGAATAAACCCTTAGTTTTCATCATGCCTTCTCTATCACGTAATGATTAACTCGCATGTTAGGCTGTGATAAAGTTAATTTCGCCATGATTGGATCCACTAAAACCCTACAGTTTTCAGCATAGAGAATTCGAGGTATAATTCAGCCACAAGTCCTTTCGCCTTCTCCCATGAAAAGTAGTGTAATTTGCCAGAGCAGATCGCAAAGCCTGTTGAGCTGATGCGCGACCTCCATGGGGCAAGCTCCACGCTTCGACGTCGCTCGAAAACGATCAGCTCAGTCTGCGTCAGTGGTAGGCCACTTGCACTGAATGGCAAACTTCCGGTGTACATGGTAGCTTAATTGTCGAAACCATGACCACGGTGGATCAGTACGAGTGCCTCCTCAATTTCGATAACCGATAACCACCTTCTCCTGAATGCGGAGCCCTGTCCTTCATATCGTTTAGCGTCATGTCCCATTTCCGGACTGCGCAACACCAAAATATCGTTAGGTGGTGACCGTCCTTCCGCAGTTTTATGTGCACACTTCGGTGTCGTCACTAGGAAGTGATTCAGCAAACATGTAAGATAATCTCGTGCCTAAGGACGCGATCGTTTGTGTTCCTGCAGTCAAGGAAGCAGCTAAAACGACATATGGTCTCTACTCTGTCATTAATATATTCTTTGTTGTGACAATGCTCTTTACTCACCGGTTTGAAAGTATAAGGGGTTCAAGGACGAAACCCAGCCAAATCATTTCTCAAGGTGGAAGCGATTGTATTAATGAAATTTTCTGTCTTCTGGCGCCTTCTAGGATTATGCCACACCTATCAACCCATGTTTTCTTTCTTGATTTCGCTGCAGCGTTTGATTTTGTCCGTTGCTGGTGCATATAACCTAATACGCCGCCGTGGATTATCGTTGTTATTGACGTCCGCCATAGTTACCGCTGTGCCAATGTTTTTTGCCCATAACCACTTCTTGCAACCATCCGATACTTTGTCAGGCGTCCCACGAGGATGTGTACTGTCGTTCACCCTTCTAAACGACGTAGTTGACTTGCTTTTCGAAAATGCTGTCTGCAGCACCAGGACGCCGGCTGGCGGTATCTTCTTGCTGGCCTCAGGCCGCGACAACCTCCGGTGTGCGACCCTCACTTGGGAGAAAATAATAGATAGAGCTCACCTGGTTCGCCGCATCAAATTGCCGCGCATGAGGGACATTACACAGGGCATACTTGAGGTTGACCAGATCAGGAATAAGTATAGTCCAATGGGTCACAAGTAATCTTAACCACGTGCTTTTAGGAGGAGAAACTGGTTCTGAAAACGCAATCCCATTGCCATAGTGTAGGACTAGACGAGACCGAGCGCTCGTCTGTTTCAAGACGTAATTTTACATGCCCCCTCGGCCCATCCCTTTACTGTGTTCTGCAGTATTTAAGCATTCATGGGCTATTTCTGCTTAGTCGTTGAAACTAGCGCTTACTGTTTGCTTAGGGTGAACTTTTGCTACCATGTGCACGTTGAGTATAGCTTCCCTCACGTTTCTAATTTCTGCCTTACTTCCACCTCTTCCACGTCTAGCTCATATTCTTGCACGGCCTTGGTGATACGGGGTGAGCTGTTTCTCTCCCAACACTCATGACTTCTTCAGACGCGGTTGGTCGGAAGCCCTAAAGCCGATCGTTCCTCCTCACTGTAAAATTGTCTGCCCAAATGCGTAAGTGCCATTCTCAGTATTCCCAGCCGCCTAGAAAACCAATTTCCATCGTCATTAACAACCGCGCCGTGATGCCGGCATGGTAGGGCTTCCCTTGTTTGGGCGATTTTGGCTTCTCTAGGTATGACATTTACGGCGTGTCTCCAGACGCTCCACAGGATGAGGCTGGCATTCGTTTGGCTGCAACCGAAAGTAGGTCACGCCCGCCCTACACATTGTCTTGTTTGTTTGTAGTAGCCAAACTCGTACAAGCCGAAGTCGAGGGCGGCATACCGGAGCACCGCATTATTGTCGGCGGCTTCTCTCAAGGTGGCGGCCTGGCCTTGTACTATGGTCTCACATCTGGCTCGAAGCTGGGTGGCATTGTGGCAATGAGCTGCTGGCTGCCACTGCATAAGAATATTGTGAAAAATCAGTCAGTAAGAGGCTCTTTGCTCTCACACCCCTTCTCTTACTAGCGTATTAAAGCGCCCACGGACCTCCCCATACTTCAGTGCCACGGTCTCTCGGACCAACTGCTTCCTAGTGTGATAGGTGACATGACACACAGGTTGCTGCTCGACTTTCAAATGAGTAGATGCAGTTTACGCAAATTTTCCGGCCTAGGTCATGGCTACAATGAGGAGGTAGGCCTTTTGTAGTCTGCTTACTTTCTCGCATCCCCCCTTGTAGGAGCTGAAGGTGATTCAGGACTTTCTCCGAGAGACCTTGTCAACGTAGCGTCCTCACGACCCTTCTTCTTATGATGGCTCCTACGGAGGCCCATCGTTCGAGGAAGTTATCTCCATCCTGTGCTGTTGCCGGACGAATTGTGCAATCTGACGTGGCAGCATGCTGTCACTACTTTGTAGAACTTGGGATGCTGCGTCTAAATCTGTTACCCTGTCCCTTTCAAATGGGCCTACTATTTCGGGTTGACTCTTTACCATGTTATTTACCGTACCCTTTCTTTTGTCTTCCTGTTCATCCAGGTGCGCCGTTTATGGCTCAAATTTCTGTTGGTCTTACTTGGGTGCGCGCTCGCGCGACAAGCAAAAATGACCACTCCGTCCCCCCCCTCCCTGAATGCCTACAGTCGGGCGGAGAGTTAACCACCATAAAAATCTTGGATCATCTGGGTAAATCTTTGTAGGAAATGGTTAGTTGTCCGCATAACTCTTTTCAAGTTAAGAATCATGCCGGGTTTAGTGTCGAAGACAAGATACTCAACCCTGGCAAGTCTTGTGCTGAAATTGTGAATGGCGCGAACACTGTCCAATCAGATCGACTCCGTGCCCTTACGAACGGCGACACCGACGTTGGTGATAGAAGCCAAACACGGGGCTGGTCTGTGTCTATCCACCAGACTTCATGGGGCCTATTAGGCGGAGACGGCGGGCTCAACCCACTTCTTGGCAGGTTTGACATAATCAGTGGGGGGATTTGTTGTTGGTCATTCGACTCGTCTGTGTCGCCGGTTTGGAATAATACGGACGACCCGGTCAGAGTCAGTTGTGTCAGAACCGGAACCATGTAGCAGGACCGTTATCTGAGTCTCGGTAAGACGTTTCGACGAGAGACTGTGCATTAACGTTCACTTATTTTCTGGGCTTGGGGAGGCCTCTAGTGCCTTGAACTCTACCCACACGTCTGAATCTCTGTTCACACACGTCTACTGTTAGGATGTTCGGTAAGGATAGGGTGAAGGCTCCCAAGCATCACTGGCACACAAAGAATACCTTATACGCATTTAAGTGGGTTTCAGTCCGACACGATTATTTCGGTTTGGTGTTTCATTGTACAAGATTGGGTAATCTGTTGTAGACAGTCTGGTGCATTATCTACAATAACCTCAGTTCAGCGAGTTGAGAAGCGATCATTGTAGACACTTTGTGTTTATTTTTTAATTGTCCTGCTTAGTTTCGGTTGCTAGGTGTCAATGCATTAAAACTTTCTGTCCGAAAAAACAAATTTATTAATTATCTATACTTATTTTGCCATGCCTCTATGCATACATATCCCCCGCCCGTAAAACCCCTATTACCACCTTTTCCCGTAAGACTGGTTGTGTGTGTTTGGGATCCCTAACCCGATCGTTGCCGAATCTTCTCTACTGTGCACTAGCATGTAACAAGCACTTTAGAGTTGTGGACGCTACATGCATATTTCCTTAGCTGGAGATGTGACAGTTTCGTGTGAAAACCCTTGAAATTTGTCGACTCTGTCGGAGCGCCGTTTGTTTTGCCAATTCTATGTTGACATGAGGCAGATGAGAGAAACATTTTGGCACAGTATATTTGTCCAGGCGCCTGTGAAGGAAATGGAAATTTGCATAGGTGAAGGCTGGCCGAAGGACAGTTCTCTCCAAACGACGAATTGGTCGAATCGCTGTGCATCCGAAGCTCACATGTTATTGAAAGTGCGATAGCCATGTCAAAAGAAGTCGAGGCGTCCTCTGGAGGGTCTTTTTATTTTTTTAGACGTTTCTAGTAATGACTGAAGAGTCGTGGGCATAGCTCTCACTGCATGGCGCCTTTTGCCCGGTGCCAGTAGGCTGCCGAAGCAGGCGCAAAAGGCGTTGAAGGAGTTAAAAGCCGACCCCGAAATAGTTATTTCATATCCGGACGAGGGCGAGTCCACCGTTATCTTTGACATAATTGACTACCGAAACAAAGCCGTGGTACTTTTCAGCGACCGTCTGGCCTGTAAAATCATTGATGCTGTCACTCCGAAGTGGTTGCTGGCGAAGGTGACAAGAAGCCTAACTCGATCGACGAAGGTGAAGGTCGTCACCACCAAAGACTGGTAAATGGCGAAAATACATAAACCATATGGTCCTCTGACCAATTGTTTTTTCCCGCGGCACTCCTATTCATGGATTTACAAACTGTTTATTCCATAAACTGAGATTTCTGGCTGTGGGCTTGCAAACCGCGGCCAACTCAGCAGCATGATCCCGGATGAAGTGTGGGCAGTGTCATCGGGCGCACCTTTCGCCTCATTTTCGTACCCTCGAAGTCGAAATACTCGGTGGTCCTGCTGCGTCAGCAGAGCTACGACAACAACGGTGGCCAGCATGCAAATCAAGAAATTTGCCGAGGACTTATGCTGAGGCAAAGCATGTCGGTTGATGATTGACCGAGTTCGAAGGTCGGAGCTGCGTTCAGGTGTTAGGTTAGTAGTCAAGTAGAACAGTCTTTGCTATGATGTATTAATTCTACTTTCGATGTCTTCTACTAAGCAACTTGCCCGGCTGGCACAAGCTTGCACGCGCGCATCAAAAACAGTTCTTTCTTCTGGAACCAGTAGGCTCGGTGTGATGTTTTTCATCCCGTCCGGCCAATTTCCGTCATTGTGAGGCTCTGTAGGCGGTCCGACCAATCACAGACATTTATGCTGACAAGCCAACAGAAAGGCGGATCTACACATTCTCTAACTCGTCGAGAATTATGAACCACACTTATAGCTAACCCGGACGTATCAGTAAGCGTCTTCTGCTGTGCCCGCTACAACCACTCTTCTTCCCTTCATGTGAAGAATACGGCCGTCTGGCTAAAATCATCTGTTTTTGCTTCTTCTTCCCCTCCTTCTTTATCTCCTCCTCCTTTTTCTTCTTCATCATCTTCCTCTGCTAATGCTGCAAAGACGATAGGCTCGCGAATTGATTTGAGAACCAGGGTTTTTCTGGGTGCTCTCCTGTCGCTTCATCCAAGTGAAAGGAGCTGGGTTTGTTCACTTGGCTCTGATAGACAGTCAGCGTTTCTACTCGAAACCAGGAGTTGCCAGCATAACAACCTTGGATCCAATTAAGTTCAAGTTGACTGGAGATCCAAGTCATTTCCTAGAAAAGTTTGCAGTCTGATAGAAGCGAACAGGCGAGTTCCAGGAAGCAGTTCAGAAGACGAAGATGCGATCACTGGAACAAGAAATTTATTCGCCCAACATTTCTGATTCTCACTCGAATCCATCATCAGGGACAGTTGCAGATAAGGGTACTGGTGGCACAAGGATTGCAGTAGTTATATCACGTGGCTGCCGTGGGACCATATGTGTACTATAAATAACAGTTCTTGCAATCACCGCCGGGGGTCGTAATTGATGCGATTATGGCTTGTCAACGCGTCCGAGTCGTTGATCGCCGCGATTTCGTCATCTGTGTTGGGTGCTAGTGTGACGATTGCTCTGAAAATTGGTTCACTGTCGCGGGGATTAGTGCTCGCCCGCGCCCACCCCACGTGGCCGATTCCCCTGCCCAGAGAAAACCTCAGCACACAATACGATACCGGGAGGTCATTGGGCTTGTTGATGGATTGCGGGCCTGAGAACCATGACTCGAGCAGCTCGCGGCCCACATGGTTGTCACCCCTTGTGAGGATTCCGGCCTCTTGAAACTCGAAAATATGGCCGGGCCCCCTCGGGTGAGCCGCCACCTGACAGCTAGCTGTCAGGTGATTGCAAGAGCTGTTAATTACAGTACGCATATGGTCCCACGGCAGCCACATGATATAAATACAGCACTCCTTGTGCCACGTTACCCTTATCTACGACTGTCTCTAATGATGGGTTCGAGTGAGAATCCGAAACGTCAGGCCAATAAATTGCTCGTTCCACTAATCACCTCTTCTTCCTCTGAGTTTGCAGTCTGCCAAAGGCGATGGCTACTGGCAGCAGTTCCTAGTTTAATATACGTTGTTGGTAGTATCAGTTGATGCATAATAACGGTTTTGTCGCTACTGCTGACTAGTTCAAAGTTAGAGCATGTGAAGGCGAATGCTTTAGAACTCCTCAGTCTGATCAGTTTTGCTGTGTTAAGCGTGAGGTTGCAGAAAAACAGAAAGTCATGTAACATACCGTCTAAGATTTTTGTACAGACACATATTCTTGGGATGTTGAGTAATTTTATATCCATTCGCAGTCGATGCGGATACCAGGGCGCTTATTCTGGCAGCCGCCGATTTACGCAACGGATGACATGAACCTAAGAGCTGTCATACCGAGTTTGTTAATTCACCTCCAATTTATCCATCACGGAAAATGCGCGGAGGTCGATCTGTTATTGGTAGGCGGTTAGAACGTCCTGCCGTATTTTTTTTACAATTACTAGGCAAGCTACTGGACATCAAGCGATTTTCATTACCCTGTAGATGCAATTTTTGTTCACCTCGCTGAAAACTTCGTGAGATCAAATGTAGTATTGAGACCCCCTCCTTTGAGTAAATAAGAAGGGTGGTCGAGCACCGGAACCCTTTCCTATTTTTTAGTGCTTTCCTCGCCCACCTCGTGTCGCACTGAGGGTCCCAAGCTCTTCGTGGAATTCGCACTTTCCGGTTAGTTTACCTATTTCAGGAACACTGCCAAACGATTACACAAATGCGAGCGTTGATGGTGCGTTCAATAGTGTACAGAGAGTGGTTGTGCCAAATTATCGGTTTCTTTTACGTCTTCAAAGCCGTGCTTACCACAGTGCTAATTTAATCCTTTTCTCCACTGTTCCTTGAGCGGATGTGCTACCTCGCTCATCGCATTTGTAGGCTTCGAACGGATAGTGTCTGGACTGCCTAGATGGACTTCTACAGCAAAGACAACTGAACGCGCTCGTCGTTGATTTTAGCTTGAAGAAGTCTGTTGGTTGCCTCTTCATAGGGGGGAGGAGGATGATTAAGAAAGTTCTGAAAGTGCCAAACCGAGAGGCTGAACATGTCCTATACTTCTCACAGCAATGCTGTTTCGACGGAAGTGAG